TTGTTAAGTAAAATGAATTAGGATTGAATATTTACAAAACTGAGTAAGGCACTTTAACACTTTAGAGACATATATCTAATGACACCTCTGCTTAATGTAACTGAAATAACATATTTGCTTTTGAACATTACATTTCTTCCATTTGGTTTCCTATTTTGAAAAGCTCATTCCTTTCTGAGTGAGAAACATAAAGTATGAAATAATCAATATCCCATTGCCATATTTACTACTTGCTTAAATTTTGTATTATTACTTGCCATTATTGAGTAAAATGCATGGAGATACAAGCCTAACTAAAAATATTAATGAAGCGTAAGGATAAGAAATACATCCAGATCCTGGATAACCTGATACAGTTCTGAGCATAACTGAGCAAGCATTTAAAATTTTCCACATTTAAAAATTTCTAAGCCAGAAGATGTTACTTAAACTACATAAGATGATGTGTGTTCATCTTAACTGTTATATAATTATTTATTATTATTTCTTGTTTTGTTTCACAAAAATATATGATAATGCTGTCATGTAAATCATATTTACTTAGACCTACTAAGTATTAAAATTAATACTGATAACAACACAACAATAATATTAGAAGAAATTTAATACTAACAATTTCCTTTTTTTTTTTTTTTTTTGTATTTTATGTGCCAGGATCTCTGCTATGTGCTGTATGTGAATTAAATTATTAAATCATCCTACTAGGATTGTGGGTAAGTGCTGCACAAGATATGATTCTTTTCCTGTAAAAAAAGATCCCAATTCAATAAGGAAAATGTATTGCCTCGTATAAAAGACTCTAGAGGTCAGGGACCCCTGGGTTGTTTAAGTCAGTGGGTGAACGATGTCATCAAGAACCCAGATTTTTTTCTTCTTTTTGGAACTGCACTTCTCAGCAGCTTTGTTCCCAAGCTTCCTCTCTTTGTGAGAGTAAAATGGCTTTGATTGTGTATAAACATGAGAATGTATAGTAGAAAATGTAACTCTGGTAGAAGGTAACTCTTCTTGTGGGACTTCCTTTTTTCAATGAGGGAAATTTCCCCAGAGTTCTTCTTGCTCAGTTCTCAAAATATGAATAAATAAGAATAACAATATAATGATAAATAAGATATATTTTAATCTTTATGCAGGATCAAGGTCTCATAACTTGTCCTACCCTATCGCTGAAAAGGAGAATGAGATTCTAGTGATTGGCTTAGACTAAGTAGGATTTATCAGTGTGAGTCAAATGAGAGAGAATTAAAAACATGAACAAAATTGATGGTATAATAGGGAAACTGAAAGTTGGGTAGGCAACCACTATGCCCACTATGATTATTATCATTACTTTGTATAAAATCAAACTAAAGATTAAAGAAATGGTTATATCAGCATTATAGGGGTAGGAATTTGCAGATCATTAATTCAATGAAGAATTGTCGGGTTGAAGTGATTTAGTAGCCAGTTATAGGAAGACAATGGCTAATAATTGATTATGAGGGAAGGAAGGAAGGAAGGGTGGAAAGGAAGGAGGAGGGATAAAAGAAAGTAGGGAAGAAAGGAATTTTCCTGGATTTTAGAGGGCTGTATCTGTGTCAAAATGCATATCTGGCTATTTTCTAGACCAGGCATTAAGACAGAGTCCAAGCTAATTCTTTGAATGTCTTCCCTCAACCTCTCCTTTTATTTTCTATTTAAGGTGAGGGATTCCAGAGCGTATTTGAATGCTGATGTAGTGATCCAACTCACAGGAAAAGAATAATGAAACAAAAAATAAGCAACCAAAGGGGCTGTTTCTTTCCTTGGTCACTAATGGAGAATAATAAGAGCACTTCCAGATTTATTTATTTTTCGACAGAGGGAAAAGCATTATAATGTTTGTTATGAATGAGAAAATATGTACATACTCAGGAAAGTTGAAAAATTATTCAGAGATTGATGAAGTTTCCCAATACTTTATTTATTTAAAGTATTTTTTAAAGTTTATGTATTTTTATTTTGAGGGAGAGAGAGAGAGGAAGTGGGGGAAGGGCAGAGAGAGAGAGAGAGAGAGAGAGAGAGAGAACCCCAAGCAGGTTTCACATTGCCAGTGTGAAGCCAGATGTGGGACTCAAACCTAGGAACCATGAAATCATGACATGAGCCAAAATCAAAATCAGATGCTCAGTGGAATGAGTCACCCAGACTCCCCTCTTTTTCCAAATATTTCAGTTCACATACTCAATTCTGATTTTAAAAATAATAATAATGTTTATTTTTATTTTTGAGAGAGAAAGAGACAGAACATGAGTGGATGAGTGGGGGGAGGGGCAGAGAGAGAGGGAGACAGAGAATTCGAAGCAGACTCTAGACTCTAAGCCGTCAGCACAGAGCCTGACATGGGACTTGAACCTCAAACCGCAAGATCATGACCTGAGCCAAGTCACAAGCTCAACTGACTCAGCCACCCAGGTGCCCCATATGATATTTTATTGTTTTCTTTACCCCTTTATCCTTCACATGATTCTTGTCATATGCCAACTATTAATTTTCAAGTTCTCTATAAAAATTAAAATACCATTCTGCTAAAAAATGTTACTAGAAATTATTATGCACTTCCACAACTAGAGAATGTAAGTATATCATAATGAAAATGTGGACTAAAACAAATATTTAGTATTTGAGTGGTGTCCAAATTTCAGTCTGTTAAACTATGTAAAAAGATTACACTTTCCTATCTAAAAATATAAAGGTTTATATTAAGAAGTCAGAGTGCCATTGTACTTTAATCATGTACTCATCTAAATGGAAATGAGCAGAACTAATTCTTTAGAATTTAGATGCTGAGCTGAACCAAACCTATTTTAAAAGAACAGGTGAATCTAACAGAGCCAAGGTAAGTAACTATCCTGTAAAATAAATTCATCTCTAACACAATAAAAAGATTGATTAAATACAAAGGTGACAGATTTGGTGCTTTGTATATACATTCAAATATCTTTTAAAATTGACCAAAATTTTAAAAGATTTTTTTAATTTGTAGGTATGATTATTTATAAAATGAAAATTTTGGCCAATATTTTTGTACTATCATTAATGGTATTGGATTTTACTTTATTTATTTATTTACTGAGGTGAATTGGAGACGTCAGGACAGCTTACCCATCCTCCCACAGACTGGACTAATGTACAAATAGATCCACTGTAATCGATTGTTCAGAAAACATAAATGCACAGGTCTACACTTGTATAATTGTTTTTCAAAAATAACATTTTCTAAATCCTGACATAGAGAAAATATTTACAGGGCATCTACATTTATAAAGAAAAGCCCAAAGCATAATTGTAAACAGAACACTGAGTAAATCAGTTTGAAACACTTGACAAGATATTTGGAAGCTACTATGAAAATAATTCAGATCTTCCCACATACACTATTAACATATGTATGTTTATATATTTTAAAAATCTGTAAAGAAATTTTTCTAACCCAAAGGATAGTCTATATCCCATCCCAGTTCAATCTTACCCACTTATAACAAGCATTCATAATTGTTTGTGCTTCATAAAGTGTGCTTTCTCAGGGCACCTCCGTGGCTCAGTCGGTTAAGTGTCCGACTTCGGCTGAGGTCATGATCTCAGGGTTCTTGGGTTCAAGTCCCGTGTGGGGCTCTGTGCTGACGGCTAGCTCAGAGCCTGGAGCCTGTTTCAGATTCTGTATCTCCCTCTCTCTGACCCTCCCGTGCTCACTCTTTCTCTCTCTCCTTCTCTCTCTCTCTCTCTCTCTCTCTCTCTCAGAAATAAATAAAACATGAAAAAAAATTTTAAGAATGTGTTTTCTCTAGATTCGTATAATGTTAATATCTTGTTTTCCTGGACATATAATCAAGTTTATCATTCTACTTAATTTAAGTTATATTTTGTTATATTTTTATAAAATATTGAATACACAATCAGAGCAAAATGTATTAATGCCTTTAGGATTACTTACTTGAGTGCATGTTTTCCATTGTTAAAATTAAGAATTAATAGTTTTGGGAAAAATTAAACATAAGACCTGAAGAATATTAATTTATGTTAAATAAAACACCTTACAAGTTTTTCTTTAAATCCCCTTTTCTTTTTTTTAATGTTTATTTTGAGAAAGAGAGTGCTCATATGTAGGGGAGGAGCAGAGAGTGAATCCCTAGCAGGCTCACAAGCTGTGAGATCATGACCTGAGCTGAAATTAAGAGTTGGATGCTTAACTAACTGATCCACCCAGGCGCCCCAAGTCACCTCTTCTTATAGAGAATTTATATCATGGCAAATTTTAGTTTATTCCAAAATTTAAGGAAGAAGACACTGATTTCATGTCAGTAATTTTCAGTGTCAGTAATTTTATTCATTTTTGTTTGACTTTGAAAACTATCTTAAGCAAATGGCTGATGCTCTCTCCTAATTAATAAAATAGCAGGAAGCATGATGAAATTCAATTTCCATGGCATAAAGTTTGCAAAACAAAGTTAAAAAATTACCTTAATTATTACCTACCTATAGGTATGTATGTGTGCATTTGTGAATGGATAGCTCATTTGGAAAATCATTCTTGTGAGGATTTTTTGGTATATTTAAATTTGTAAATGTGATTTAATTTGGAATTATTTATTGTGTAACAATTTTGAATTTTCCTACCCATTTAGATGAAAACGTAATTCATATGTGTTTTTAAAAATATTTAATCAGGTCCCCACTCAGCTTTAGCAGCAAGAAAATAACAATTGCTTTCGAGAAGCCACTTTCCTCTAGCATTATAACCATGTAATCCTTACTTTGGACTAAAGTACTATAAAAATAAGCCCAAACAGGAGCACTCTTCCACTGCAGAGTGATGTTCTGTTAGGTGTATAGCTCTTCCTCCACATCGACCTTATTCCAACCATGGTTCTGCTATCTTCCAGGGCCAGAGGGAGACAGCCAGCTGAAATTAAAAGACTTTGTGGGGGAAAAAAACAAAACACAGGGGATGTGTTTTAATGCCCAACCTGGAAGTAAAACACATGGCAGATGTACCTTTTTTATTTGAGAGAACTTGGCCACAAGGCCACACAGAATATCAACAGCACCGACATGGCTGGCAAATATTTAGCTGTGCTCTCGAGAATAAGAAGGGATGCAGTGATGTAGTGGTTTCTACAATAACCTCCAAACACATTTTCAGGACTCAGCTGAAAAGACAGGCAAAAGGAACCATTCCTGCTTGCATATTCCTGGTGAGATAGAGGTGGTAAATTAGATGTATTTTCTAGTATTTGATCTATTTGAAATGCAACATATCACTATGAAAAATAGAGGTAACAGAAAACAAAACAGAAACAAAACAAAAAACAAACGTAACATACTTACTAGTTCCGCCTGGGTGATTAATACCCCAGGAAGTCCCCAGTCCCAAGGGGGCACATCTAGGCAGAAGCTGTCTCTCTCCTTTTGCTAGAGGCTCCAGATTCCAAAATTAGCAGCCCTAATTTTTCTTGACTGCTAGAGATTAGAGCATTGTAAATTACACCACAGAGTTCCAATAAACCTTAACTGCAAAAAAAGAAAAAATGTCTGACTTCAGTGAAACTTGTTCTCTAGTTGGTGATCCTTCTGGTAAGCCACATTACTAGAGATACGCTCTAGGATTCCTTAAAAGCCCAAGGGTATGGTCCAAGGTTAGAACTCATGGATATTCACATCCAGTCCTGAGTCTGCAGTACTGGCTCTGTGACTGGCTGGCTGTTCCTGCAAGGACTCTAACACTTCACCACATTCAAATAGTCTAGATAAACCTACAGATCCTGAAGGTATTTTTGGATCTTAAATCAAGGCATCTCCTTTCTTACCTGTGAGCGCCTTTCTGTCATCCTTGGAAGCTTTAATGTGAGAGGAATTCTAAACAAAGAAAGTTCTCATCATGTTTCTCCTCCACAGAAAAGATATCAGGGTCATGATCTGTGATACATCCTGTCCCCCATAAAAAGTATCTTCCACACTACTCAGTATTCTCTATTCTTATCATTGCAACCACTTCATAAAACAAAGGGTCCTGAAATAATAGCTTTTGTTAGGCTACAAGTCTGTTGAATTTTTCCCCAGTGCAAAAACAAACAAAAAACCAAACAAAAACAACAATAACAAAACACAACCCTAAACACCTAAAAAACCTAATTCTCCGTAAACCATAGAGAAGGGGCCAGCATGAAAAAGAAACATTATTCAAAGGTAGTTTGCATTCTCCATATACATTAAATATTAGTGACTTCTCTACCAATATTACATAAATATTTTTCCTATCTTCCAAACATTCGATTACTCCTGAATAAACCAAGCTCCCTGACTCTTAAGCGACACAAGACATAGCACCCCGTACTTTACCTTCTACAATAACTGGTTTTCCAATTTTATTACTATCACCTTTCCATAGTCTATATGCTTGAAGAAATACCAGACAATATACCTTGCATTCACCACAATAATTGCAGTGTCTAGTACAGTGCCTGGCATAATGCAGGTACATAACAAATATTTCTTGATTAGATGAATATATCAAAATTTCCCCTGGAGTGAATTATTCCAATTAGTTAAAAGTTCAGGGTCTTGTCATTCCGTACTGTCTTTTTTTCAAAGTGCATGAAGTAGAAATTAGCCCTTTTCTGAATATTGTTAAATATTTAGATAAAAAGAAAAATAAATAATAAGAATGATATATTTTTTTTTTTCATAAGAAACAGTTCTCAATATGTGAAACCATAAAATGAAAAGCACAGCTTGCTTTGGAGACATTACCAGTATCTCCCACAGATCATCTTGAAAAATAGACTGTGAATTATATCTCATCACATTAATTGAGTATTAATTTTAGCTCTCAGTAAATGGTCAAACATAGTTGACATTTAACAGAGATCACAGAAGTAAAGATTGGTATCTTTTAAATAAGTTTCAGACTTATCAGACAAAACATGTTTCTTACATATTACTGTCAGGAAAACTATGATTAAGGCTTTTTCTTCTTATTTTCATTTTTACCATCGTTGTCAGTAAAAACTGAACTCCACAAGTGAATTGGGAGGTAAATTAAGAATAAGCAAGGGTGACACACAAAATCAAATGTTCATTTCACACAAAACATTTGCATCATGGTGAGCCTGGTTGACAGCAATCATGGTTTCTCAGTTTTCTTGATTTTTATTGATTATCATAAGAACGCAGTTGGCTAGCATTTGCATGTAGCTCTCTTTGTCTTCACCTCTTAATCTCCTTTCTAGATAAAGGCACAGAGAGATTAAGAAGAAAGAGAAGCAGGAGGAGGAAGAAAAGAAGAAGAAAGTGAAGAAAGAAAATATATTACATGATGTGATTGTTGATTTTATGTGACAACTTGGCTAGACCATGGTAACCACATATTTGGCAAGATGGGATTCTAGATGTTTCTGTTAAGGTAGTTTTTAAATGAGATCAATATTTAAATGCTTTCCATAATCATGGAAAGCAGAGTATCCGGGGCGCCTGGGTGGCTCAGTTGGTTAAGAGCCAGAGTACAACTCAGGTCATGATCTCGTGGTTCATGGGTTTGAGCCCCCGTGTCAGGCTCTGTGCTGACAGCTAGCTCAGAGCTTGGAGCCTGCTTTGAATTCTGTGTCTCTCTTTCTCTGACCCTTCCCTGCTCACACTGTGTCTGTCTCTCTCTCAGGAATAAATAAAACATTTAAAAAAATTTAAAAAAGAATAAAATAGGGAAAGCAGAGTATCCTTTACAATAGGGGGTGGGCCACACCCAACCTGTTAAAGGCCTTCATTGTAAACAAATGATATCCCAGAATGAAAAGAGAGTTCTACCAGCAGACAGGCTTGAGAATAAAACTGCAGCTCTCATCTCAATTTGTTGTCACTTAAGTAAATGTCTATAGTTCCTTTCTGGGAAGAAATGGAGAAATTATAACAATATGTACTAACTATGATGCTAGAAAAACCCTTCCGCCTACCGATCTTGCTATCTCACCAGTAAATGAACTACAGATCTGAAAACTGGCACAGTTCTTGGGAACCGAGCAAGGGATCATTACTCTTTACCTGGAGTGACCACCCTCATGGTCCTGTTCTCCATTCTTGCCATTTTTCTTATTTTAGATGTTAAACAGTGCCTTAGTGGCTGCCTGCCACTTTTGCCTGTAGGAATAGCATGCTCAATTAACTACCCCTACCACTGCATTTAGGTCATGCACCATGGCTGATTTTCTGACATTAGTGCTCATTCCTATTATCTTTAGTTCCTGCCATCGTATCCATAGATATTAGCTCTGCCAGCTTTGCTACTACCTTTCCTATCATCAATGAGCCTTACAGAGGAGAGCCACCTCTTTCTGTGTTGCTGGTGTCTCTCACCAATGCATTTCTGATGGCCTTGGTGGCCACTGTGGCCCCTCCCATGCTACCCAGCATTCTCTCTTCCTGAAGCTTCTTTATCGTGCCCTCAGCTATGTCTGTGTTGCTCAACACATTAACTAAAGGGACATAGATTTCTTCATTCTTCTAGAGCAGTGAGCTTGCCTCTTTCTCTGGGATCCTTGTCTGAGTGTTAAATCCCCATGTCCTCAGAAGAATTTTTCCTTATCCACTCTTATATTCTGGCTTATTATCACCTGTCCCCAAAATGCAATCCTGAGGTTCCTCCCTGACTCCTGACAGTACTTGTCAGTTAATTTTTACAGCTTCTTTAGTTTATATTTGCTTCTTTATTAGGCTCAACACATTACAGTTGAGTGATATTTTGATTTAATACTAGTTATCAGCCTATGGCCCAAGGGAGAAGAAACGGAGCTCTTGAAGGGAGGTTGTCACAAATTGGTGACACTTAGAGGACACTAAGGCTTTTTCTAGCATAGATAAAGTGCTAGTTTTCACTAGAGAAAAGTGGTGAATTACCTCTATGAACTCTGAGGATTCACAGAGCTCAGGAGGGACAATTTCTTCAGAAGCATCTATTTAGATAATCTATCTAAATGTCCTCACCTCATAGTTCAGGGCCCCAGGTTTTACCAAAAAGACCCTAGTTTATTATCATCTCTCTGCAGGGCATCAATACAGCTCATTAAGAATCAATTAATACCTCATTCCTTGAAGGCATTGGTTCCCCTCAAATCTTTCAAAGCCTAGATCATTGCAACTGCAACGGCAGTCCCCTCCACTGGACCTTTTTTTTTTTTTCTGGTCATCATAGTGAAATCATGAGCAATTAGGACCCCATCTTATGCTAGAACAATCCATATTCCCCCTACCACTGAAGATGGCATCTCCTTTTCTTGACAGGCAGTAAATATATCAGTCTCCAAATGCCACCTGCTACCTTTTTTTTCTAGACCATTGCTGCTACCTAAATAAGTTTGGTTCTCCTAGAGGGAATTGGACGTGAAGGTTTTATTGAGGATATATCTGTAAAAGGTAAAAGAGATGAAGCATTAGGAAAGGAGAAGCCTCAGACTTGCTTGTAGGGATGAAACCTACAAAATGAGACAGAGAGATAAAGAGAGTTGAACAGGAAATGTCTCAGACTGCCATTTACATCTGAGAAAGCTTTGGCCAAGCCTATGGAAATATCAAGCAATGATTTTAGAATCAGGAGTGTCTAGGCTTTACTATATCTACCATCCTCAGTAATTGGTTGGAAGCAAGCTGGGAAGGATGTCCTTGACATGAATATGGTGATGTTACCAGAAGCATAGACCCACAGTAAGAGATCTGAGTAGAGAATTTTCATAGCCACCCTATTGTTGAAACACTGACAAAGACCCTTCAAAGTATTACTTAAAACATAATTATATAAGATTAAAAATATTATTTCAAATTCTTTCCATAAAGTTGTAAGCACATTCTAGAATTAATAAATACAGTGTAAGGGAAAATAGTGAAACCTTCAGTAATGTCACAAAACCTTAGTTTGGGAATTTGAAATTTGGTTACTTATAAATTAATAATTTAATTCTGGATTTTCTGCTAAACTTAATATAATTGCTGAGAAAACGATGTTTACTATGAAGAACAGTTTTTAGGTCATAAAATTTTAAAAAATACAAGCTCTCCTATTAAGAATTAATTTTAATCAGGGCGCCTGGGTGGCTTAGTCGGTTAAGCGTCCGACTTTCGCTTAGGTCATGATCTTGCGGTTCGTGGGTTGGAGCCCCGCGTCGGGCTCTGTGCTAACTGCCAGCACAGAGCCTGGAGCCTGTTTCAGAGTCTGTATCTCCCTTTCTCTCTGACCCTCCCCTGCTCACGCTGTCTCTCTCTCTCTCTCTCTCTCTCTCCTATAAATAAATAAAAATTAAAAAAAAAAAGAATTAATTTTAATCATATGAGCTCTGACCTGAATTTAATGATTGGTCATACTAATGAATTTCTATGTAGATACGATGTACAGCTCAATTAGAATATTAGATTAGCAAAGAGGTACTAACGATACTGTGTGGTTATCATTTCTGAACATACGTTATTCAAATTTTCAGGATATTGAAATATTTTACTAGTCGACACCCGACTGTCA